ATGTTCGAAGGAAAAAGTTACCTTTATTCGCCTATAATGAAGATTGAAGCAGTTGGTTTTTTTAATAGAATTATTCTTCATTATATTTTTATTATAATTTGCTATTTATTATTTATATTATTATAGTAAGTGCAATAGCATACAGTAGAATCGCTACTAAGGGAACACTTTCGGGACCAAAAAAAGTTCATACTAACAAAAACGTGAAATGTCTCCTTAATATGGTTTTTTCGCATGTTTTTGTACAATGAGACAACAAATTATTTATAAATTTATTATACAGTTACAGTTGAACTGTAACTAATTTATAACAAGAATTTGTAATGCAAAAATAATTTATTTATTATATGAAGTCAACAGAAATGGAAGTAAAACAACACAAGCTGTATATGTTCCCATGGTTTGAGTGCAATGTTAATGACCAACTATTCTTTTTTTTAATAGTGGGGTGACACCGGTATCTTTTTAATACTAAAAGATACCGGTATATAAAATGTGCAGTACTGTACTAAAGCTGTACAGCAGCGCTTTTTCGTTAAATCTTTGGTCAACTTTTAGGCATCATCTTTACTTATGAAATTGCATTGCGGTCGAAACGTGTGGGGGAGGGGGAACCAACCCCAACCCCTATATAAGAATATGTGGGAGGACGTGTCCCACCCCTCGTCCCCATGATCTGCACCTGTGGTTAGCTGAGAATTTTATTAGATTGAAAATTGTTATTTGGTTCTTAAAAAGATCTCGAATTATAGGGATCTCGGAATAAGAGTCTCAAAGTGGAGGGTGCATTGTAATTCAATGAAACTAATTTGTTGGTGAAACGGGTATTCATTCTTCATTTATTGTTTTCATGATGAAGGTTCTATAAGAAAACTTATGATTGAGGCATCCCTAGATGGCCAGAAATGGCAGTATCAGACTTAAACGTTTATTTATTCTCAATTTATTGTATAATTTTGAAAATGTTTTAAGCCCTCACCCCTCTTAAATCCGCCACTGATTTATGCCCATCGTTGATAACCGAAATCGTACGTTTAACCAAATGAGTGTCGGTAATTCAATGACAATCTCGTAAATCATTTATCATATAGTGAAGTGCTTCTTTACCGGTATATCTAACCGAGATCTTGATTTAGGCCTGTATCAAATGTTGGAAGTTTGTTGATGAATTAACCCTGTGGGATGTAATAAATACAAGGAAAACATATTGACCCACCCTAACTCCAAGGCCACCTGGACGCATTAAACAACTGGTGCAAAGCAAGCAAACGATATGCTCCCGAAGCCAGCCAAATGCCATGTTCTTAATGTTAACTTCATGAAAACCCCTTAATTACCCTGAATTAACTATAGGTGGGAATAATATTAAAGCTGTTGATAAAATAAAATTGTTAGGTCTTGAAATACAAGAAAATCTAGGGCAGGAGACCAAAAAAGAAAAAAAAACATATCACAAGCCAGCAGCAGGATATTTCTTTGTGTATGCTATAAAAGGATATAGGCCTACAACTCCAGTAGAGGACATGATCGCCGTCTACCAACTATACATAAGGCCCTTGATGGAATACGCATTATGTATATACTGATTGGCACTTCAGTCGTACTAAACTAAAAACTAATCAACTCGAAAGAATACAAAGCGTGCCTGCAAAATTGTACTGGGCCAAAATTGTGTAAACTATACCACTGCTTTGAACAAACTGAACATTAGGGAGCTCTCGATTGCACGACGACGGTAGGACATAGAACGTAATGACGTCAGTAAAAGTCATCTGCGCATGCGAGAACGTAAAAGGTCACCTCGTCGAGTAGATTCTGGAAACGCAATTTAACCAAACCTTACGTATTGACAGAACGTAAGACGCCAGGTAGGACGGTCACGCATGAGTGATTCTATTCTAGGGTTGTATTTTTTTTCTTTTTTATATTTGTTTTGTCTATAATAATAATAATAATAATAATAATAATAATAATAATAATAATAATAATAATAATAATAATAATAATACTAATAGATGGATTTATATAACGCAGATAAACGAGGTCTCTATGCGCTATTTGGTCTTTGTTGTCAAATTTTTAAATTATATTTAGGTCAATTTTTATAGTATCAATATTGTAAATAATACATTTGATTGAAATTAGTAAAATGTGGTATATAGTAAATTATTGTTCTTTTTTGTAATTGTATTTTTTTATAATTTTAATAGTATTTCAATATGTAATCTCTAGTAGTAAATTAAGTGCTTTATTGTAAATGTAATTTTTGTAATTGTTAAATTAATAGTACTTTAATGTAATTTTTTTTTTTGTAATAAAGACAGTTTTAGCTTCATTCAACCGTTTATGCATAACATAGTCAATGTGTGGCCTGAACCATGGTAATATTAAGCAGCACTTTTATGGTTCTGTGACATTTCTCTTGGCCATCCTAGCAATCTGTATTGTGACTCACTTGCTGATCAAAACATCAATTTCTCGTTTGAGTTAACATTTCTCATGTTGTTGTCATAATATTCTGATTCCTCATTGGTGTTTCAAGTCCAAAATACATTACACTACCCTTTGCAGTTGTGTATCTAATGGGTGCACCCCACCCTCAAATAATCTCCAGCCTCCCCAGTCTGCCCTCCCCCAAAACGACTCTAGTACAGTAGTTAAAAATCACCTCAAGTTACCTTACTTTGAGAGAGTTAGCGCCCCCTTACCTAAATTATTAAACTCCATTCACTCCCTCCCAATTTCACGATCAGCCCTCTGCCACTTCCAGACTCTTAAATAAGCCACTGCCCCATCATAATTTATCTGCCATTTTATACTGCTCATAATGTTAATGAAATTATCAACTGTATCAAAAAAAAAATTGTTGGCAAATTGTCTGTCGGCGAATTGGCTGTCGGCGAATTGGCTGTCGGCGGAAGGTCCTGCTGCCAAATTTGTTGTCGGCGAATTCCGAGGCAGTGAAGTTTTTTTTTTTTTTTTTTTTTTTTTTTTTTGGTCAACCTGTCTATCGGCCCCTGTCGGCAAACTGGCATTCGGCGAAATGTCCTAGTACTGTAATTATATAGGCTTAAATAGATAGTCTGTTGCTGTCACTTGCATTAACTTCCTTACGACTTTGGCACATATAGCATCTTACATGTTATACTGCATGGATAATTATGGGGTAGTGTTGATGCATGGCCGCTTTAAAATGTATTTTATCGCACTGTCGTGGATATTCCTTCTGTTCCTCCCGCACTCAAAGGTCATGAATTTATTATAGGAATAATTAAGATGATCAAATATTAGGCCTATATGAACAACCATGTTGTTTTGTAATTTATTTGACTGATTAAGCATTGAACATATTTTCATTACATCGACAAAAATATTTTGGGTAAAATTTCGGTATCTTACTAGCACTAACCCGATCCTTGATCCCACCCAGTCATTACAATTTAATTTAAGTACGTACACTGTAACTTCTTACACACACACACACACACACACACACACACACACACACACACACACACACACACACACACACACACACACACACACACACACACACACACACACACACACACACACACACACACACACACACACACACACACACACACACACATCAATAAACGACCATGTTATTTAATCAGTTATCAATCAATCAATTGATATATCTGTCAACCAATCAAAACACGTGTTTACTTTTTTGATAAACTTAAATACGGACTTATCCATATCACATACATGATTTATAAAGTGATTTATAATTAGTTATTAACGTTCCTATATTTAGAATGCTACAACTTCGTCGGACACGTTGTAGCATAACACCATCATCATTCGCGAAAACCTGTAGTATAAAATAAACACAATGATTGTATTTAAGGTAATAGCTATACAGGTATTATTGTTATGATTATACTTTGAATGATTATTGTACAAAATTCATGTGATAATGTAGGCCTAATAGAAATGAAATGAAATGTAAATTCACATAAAAATAGTAAGCTGAGTTAGACATTTAACTAAAGAAAATTATAACATGAATAGGCCTACTGCAAAAACAATTTTGTATTTATTATATACAATTTTGTTTATGTATAATTACAGTGTATCTTTTTATTGTATAGAATGTTATGCAGAAAACAATGAAGAATAAATATGGGCACACAGGGAAATCAATCGTTCCCCCTTTCCACTTTTTACCAATCTTCTATAGTTAAAACCCAACTTTTCAAAGCGAGTGGAAAGAACAATTACGAATGACTATCGTGAATTTTGTCTGTTCACTTGTGTTCTGTTCCAATTGTACTATTTCTGGACCAAAACCGGGTAAAAAAACAATTGTTTGTAAATTTCGTGACCATTCCATCGATTTTGTGGGTACAACGGTTACGGGAGGCTAAATGTATTGTAAAAACAATGTAGGATACTGTATTCCTACGTTGTTAAAATTGGAAGCATGTAGGCCTAATCGTACTAGGCCAACAGCAAACTCAAAAGTCAACAATTTCTACTATTAACGATTTATTCTTTTTATAAGACCCGTATATACTAGTGTTTAGTATTATCTGCATACATAGATTCCTGTGTTTCCTAATTTTTTAAAATATAGTTACTGTAATCAATTGAATTTTATATAGCTATTATTAAACAATAATTATACAGCCTTTGACATGGAAAGGTCTATCTATTTCGACTTATTTAAGTAGTGATGCCACAAGTTGACAAACTCTGACAAAATAAATTAAATAAATCTGCTTTATGTTTGTGAAATAAAATTGCTAACTAAATGTTTTGTGTTCTTGTCTTCCTAGTCCTATTTGATCATAAATTAGACGGTAGTATTTCCACTCACAATAGTGTAGCTGCAATATTACTTGCACTAAAGTGAAATTCAAAAGGAGAAAAAAAACCCATCTTGATTGATTTTAAAAAGTACCGTACATGCAACGAGACTAAATTAGGGTGACTGTTTTAAGTTCATCTTATTTGTTTTTCATGGTTCGAAGAAGTTACAAGCTAATCAGTAGAAAATAAATAATTATTTTTATGAATGTTAGTTTGTACGAAATAAGCGGGCATGATTATAATTACCAGGATAAATTGAAAAACTTGTTATGATGAGTATTTCAGTTGCAGATTCAAGTGGGCACAGCCGGCCACCCGCCCTAAATTTTATAATATTGAAATTTAAGTATTGTGTAAGAGTGCCATTTCCGGCCAACTAGAGGTGCCATAATAAAAAATGTTCTTTCCTCAGTCCCAACCATGGTGGGGCTGAGGTGGTCTACACTCCATTCAAATAATATTTTGAAAATATAGTGTGGAAATAAATGTGGCATTACATAAAATCAAGTAGATACGACTTATAAAAGTTAGATGCGAGAGCTCCCTGAGAAATCTGCGCTCCCTGCATCCCCACCAGGGCCCTAGGCGGCTCCTGACCCCCAGCCAAGGCTTGGGCCGGCCCTACGGCACAAGATTTAATTAATTTGCAATTCGTCTCTATGGGACAACAAATTAAGCATTGAAAAAGAGTTTAACTTCAAAATTATATCTCTAAATGATAAACTATACAATATCTCACTTTAAAATCCGTATCTTCTCTTTCATCGGCTCCTTTACGTTGAGCGGATGAGATATGTACTTCACAAATTGTAATCAGAAGTAATAATATACAGAGAGATGCAAGAGGCTTCCTTCTGATATTTGTCATCTCTGTACGAGTGTTTGTTGTGCCGATGTTCTAACTGGAAAGAAAACGAGAATAATTGACATAATACTTTATTACTCTTTTGCATTAAGTTCCTTCATTATACTCGAATTTTATTAATATTATGTTTGATTTAGTTACGATTTTCGTTTTGTATGTTTTTGAATGCACCACTCGGAAACGAGCGAGTGCCACTGATTCTAAAGATTCCTAATAAATGTCTAAATAGTTGTTAAAGATAACTTATTAGAATATTAAGGGAAGTACATATGAAGCGCTTAGAGATTTTAAGATGTCGAATAACAAGAGTATAATAATAGGCAAATGTTACTACTAATAATAATACTAACGATAGCTATGATAATATAATAATATTACATCAGTCTCCCTGGAGAGGTTTCAACGACACCTTGAAAGTATGGTAAGCTATATTTTCATTTAGATCCATTGAGTTTGAGACCTTATCATTTTAAATGACCATCAAATTCACACCCGAATCTGGAAAAACGATATTGAAGGGGAAAAAACAGAACAAAAAACAATGGATTTTTCCAGCTCCTGCTCTGAAAAGCCCATAATGTGAAACACGTTACTGTATTCGAATTTATGTTATAGTAATAATAAAAATAATATTTATAACTAAAAACTGAGTGAATTAAAAACTGACCCGTTTAATCTTCGTTGAGGTATGATCTTTTCGTTGTTCTTGATTGATGCACTGTAAAACGATATGTTTTAACCTGGTCAGTTTCATCTTTTATACCATCCACAACGAAGCCGAACAATAAGCTAACACGTGAAAAGGTTGATTTTAAATATTGATATAATTTAATATTATATGGTAATCGTTAAATGGTGAAGTAATGACGCCTGTCAACGATTCTCATCTTTACATTTTAGACACTTTTAGTCGTACTAAAATTAATTATGATTGTCATTGCATTCTAAAAATGTTTTTAAAGACAAATTAAATGATATAATATGAGTGGCGAATCCAGGAATGTTTAATAGGGTACAGGAAGAATATTCCACTGATAAAAATGGTCAATACTACCTCAGCCCCACCATTTATGATTACAACACTTCTAAATCAGTGGCGTAACTAGAAGTCTAGAAAATTGGGTGCCGATGGGGGAGCGAATGTACGATGCTCACAAAATAAGGTGATTTTTAACTACTTGCAAGTGATTTTTGGGAGGCGCTAGCAATTTTTGGAGGAGTGTGCTCTCCTTCCCCCTGCACCCCCGTGATACACCACTGCACTAAATGGCCGGAACTGGCACTCGCAGACTTTAAATTAAAAATTTGGGCCCCTCCCCCACCCCCTTTAATTCACCACTGGATGATATAGATTCGATGTCAGAGACATGTTATCAACAAAGCGCTTTTAAGTTAGGGTGCTAAATCGAGGATCAAGTGGTTATGGGGCCTCTTCGGGGCCCCTAGGGGTCGGGGTATATCATGTGACACCGGCATTATTTGTTTTTGAATAAAAGGCTCAAATTACAGGTATTATCTAAACACAGGTTTTTTGGTCGTACGTGCGAGATTAGAAAACAGCTGTTCGGCATTTAACCTTTAACCAAAATGATGTTTATTGATTTATTGTTATGAAAATAGGCGAAAATTAATTAAAATTTATATTGAACAATAATTAGGCAATATATATGCTGATGTAGATAGAGTATGCAAATGTCATATCCCTTCTTTCCAAGTCCCAAAACCAGTTGAAAATGGCTTTCTTTCCTAGACATAGTATTGTAACTAAATCAATGGACAGGTCCACCCACCCACACTCTGTTTATAGAAAGAATAGGCCTACATACAGTTTTTGTTCATTTACCTACTAAAATACTGTAGGCCTAGTCCTTATCCGCACATCTTGATTGAAAAATGGATCAGATTTTATAAAGATATGAAAGCAACAGGCGTGTGTGCATTTGTTTCACTGAAAATTAATTGCGTAACAAAAACGTGAAATGTCTCCTTAATATGGTTTTTTCGCATGTTTTTGTACAATGAGACTACAAATTATTTATAAATTTATTGTACAGTTACAGTTGAACTGTAACTAATTTATAACAAGAATTTGTAATGCAAAAATAATTAATTTATTATATGAAGTCAACAGAAATGGAAGTAAAACAACACAAGCTGTATATGTTCCCATTATTTGAGTGCAATGTTAATGACCAACTATTCTTTTTTTGTAATAGTGGGGTGACACCGGTATCTTTTTAATACTAGGAGATACCGGTATCTAAGGTGTGCAGTACTGTACTAAAGCTGTACAGCAGCGCTTTTTCGTTAAATCCTGGGTCATCTATGCAGTTCATATTAACAACTTTAGGCATCATTTTTACTTATGAAATTGCGTTGCGGTCGAAACGTGGGGGAAACCAACCCCAACCTCTATTTAAGAATATGTGGGAGGATGTGTCCGCCCACCCGTCCCCCTGATGATCTGCGCCCGTGGTTAGCTGAAAATTTTATTAGATTGAAAATTGTTATTTGGTTCTTAAATAGATCTCGAATTATAGGGATCTCGGAATAAGAGAGTCTCAAAGTGGAGGGTGCACTGTAATTCAAGTGTATTGAAAATAATTTGTTGGTGAAACAGATATTCATGCTTCATTTATTGTTTTCATGATGAAGGTTCTATAAGTAAACTTATGATTGAGGCATCCCTAGATGGCCAGAAATGGCAGTCTCAGACTTAAACGTTTATTTATTCTCAATTTATTGTATAATTTTGAAAATGTTTTAAGCACTCACCCCTCTTAAATCCGCCACTGTATTATTTATGCCCATCGTTGATAACCGGAATCGTACGTTTAACCAAATGAGTGTAGGTAATTCAATGACAATCTCTGGTAGCGTAATTCATTTATCATATAGTGCTTCTTTACCGGTACATCTAACCGAGATCTTGATTTAGGCCTGTATCAAATGTTGGAAGTTTGTTGATGAATTAACCATGTGGAATGTAATAAATACAAGGAAATATTGACCCACCCCAACTCCAAGACCACCTGTATGCATTAAACAAATGGTGTAAAGCAAACGATATGCTCCCGAAGCCAGCCAAATGCCATGAAACTTCATGAAAACCCCTTAATTACCCTGAATTAACTATAGGTGGGAATAATATTAAAGCTGTTGATAAAATAAAATTGTTAGGTCTTGAAATACAAGAAAGTCTAGGGCAGGAGACCGAAAAATAAGAAAAAAAAAACATAACATATCACAAGCCAGCAGCAGAATATTTCTTTGTGTATGCTATGAAAGGATATACAGCTCCAGTAGAGGACATGATCACCGTCTACCAACTATACATAAGGCCCTTGATGGAATACGCATTATTTATGTACTGATTGACACTTCAGTCTTACTAAACTAAAAACTAATCAACTCGAAAGAATACAAAGCGTGCCTGCAAAATTATGCTGGGCCAACATTTTGTAAATTATACCACTGCTTTGAACAAACTGAACATTAGGGAGCTCTCGATTGCACGACGACGGTAGGACATAGAACGTAATGACGTCAGTAAAAGTCGAGTAGATTCTGGAAACGCAATTTGGCCAAACTTTACGTATGCACAGAACGTAGGACTCCAGGTAGGACAGTCACGCATGAGTGATTCTATTCTAGGGTTGTTTCTTTTCTTATTTAATTTGTTTTGTCTATAATAATAATAATAATAATAATAATAATAATAATAATAATAATAATAATAATAATAATAATAATAATAATAATAATAATAATAATAATAATAATAATAATAGATGGATTTATATAACGCAGATAAACGAGGTCTCTATGCGCTATTTGGTCTTTAGTTGTCAAATTTTGTTATTATATTTAGGTCAATTTTTATAGTATCAATATTGTAAATAATACATTTGATTGCAATTAGTAAAATGTTGTATATAGTAAATTATTGTTCTTTTTTGTAATTGTATTTTTTGTAATTTTAATACTATTTCAATATGTAATCTCTAGTAGTAAATTAAGTGCTTTATTGTAAATGTAATTTTTGTAATTGTTAAATAGTACTTTAATGTAAAATTTGTTGTAATACAGACAGTTTTAGCTTCGTGCAACCGTTTATGTATTTTTGTATTTATATTTTATACCGTAATAAATAAATAAAGTAGTCCGTGCCTTTTTTAAAAGTTGCTTGTTTTTCCAATGTATGAGTTCCAGACATGCATAATATAGTCAATATGTGGCCTGAACAATGGTAATATTAAGCAGCACTTTTATGGTTCTGTGACATTTCTCTTGGCCATCCCTAGCTATCTACTCACTTGCTGATCAAAACATCAATTTCTCGTTGCAGTTAACATTTCTCACGCTGTAGTTGTCATATTCTAAATCCTCATTGGCGTTTATCCAAAATACATGACACTATCCACTTCAGCTGTGTATCTAATGGGTGCACCCCCACCCATCCTCAAATAATCCCCCTCCCTAGTCTGCCCTCCCCAAAACAACTCTAGTACAGTTTAAAAATCACCTCAAGTTACATTACTTTAAGAGTTAGCGTCCCCTTACTTAAATTATTAAGCTCCATTCACTCCTTCCCAATTTCACGATCAGTTCTCTCCCGTTTCCAGACTCCTAAATAAGCCACTGACCCATATATCTGCCATTTTATATTGCTCATATGTTAGTGAAATTATCAACTGTATAAAAAAAAAGAATTGTCGGTGAAATGTCTGTCGGCGAATTGGCTGTCTGCGAATTGGCATTCGACGAAATGTCCTAGTACCGGAATTATATAGGCTTTAATGGATAGCCTATTTGGTATCACTTGCATTAACCTCTTTATGCCTTTTTCACATATAACATCTTAAATGTTATACTACATGGATAAGGGTAGTGTTGATGCATGAAAATGTATTTTATCGCACTGTCGTGGATTTTCCTTCGGTTGCTCCCGTACTTAAAGGTCATGAATTTATATTCTAAATATAGGAATAATTAAGATGAATAAATATTATATGAACAACCATGTTGTTTTGTAATTTATTTGACTGATTAGGCATTGGAGTTGCCATTTTCATTACATCGATAGAAATTGTGGGTAAAATTTCGGTATCTTACTGGCTCTGACCCGGTCCTGATCTCATACCCAATCATTACAATTTAATTTCAGTACGTACACTGTAACTTGTTAATACACATCT